GACCCATAGCGACCCTGTACAGGGTTTCCGAGGGTGTAAATCTTTATGGGAGTAGAAAGCCTCATCTTTCTCCCGCGGAGCAGCTGGTAGTTTCGAACCGCTGACCTTAAGGTTCACAGCCCGATTCGTAACCACTACGCTACCAGAGCTCCTTAGCCTAGGCATTAGTGAGCTGAAATGGACTGGTACTGGTCATTCTGAATCAGATAATCATATGGTCTACTTATACCAGGAATAACAAAATGAATAGGAAAGGTGTAACCAAATAAAAAAAGTTTGTCAAAACAAACATTTCAAGATCTATCCGGAAGTAAAACACTCTTAATGACAGGGTAACACCCATACACCTATTAATAGTTAGTACAATTATGCAAATTTATGCAACAACCCTAATGACAACTCGATGGCACCCAACAAAAACAATGAAAGTTAATCTTACAGTTCAGAACAGAGGACCCTAGGACCAACAAGGGAGAAGAGCACAAGAAAAATGTGGACCCTATCCAGAGAAGCATTGACGGGAGGCAGAGATGACATGGAGAGAGGGAGCAGCTGAAGCGTCAAGAGTCATGGGAAGAGAAAGGCCGTGTGCTGGTGGCCAGGAGGCAGGCTTGCAGAATGTGCCCTTGGGTTATTTATATATGCTCCTGAGTGTTTTTGTGCACACATACACCCCCCAAAAAACACAGAGGGAATGGAAGCAAATACCGTTGAATGATGATGCATGGAGGAGATTTGTAATCATTGCAATGAAATGATGAGTGTAAAACCGATGTTCTCCTGTGTAAACTAGCACTCAATTCACAATAAAAACTTTAAAAAAGAATTTTACAAATGAGGTTATCTAGTTCTATCTGACTTAATCCTCAAAAAAAGAGGGGGAACAATTATTTTTAAAGATTCCTACAAAAAAATATATGATGGTACTAAAAATGTAAGCACTGGAGCACAAAAGGAAAAAAGAACTAAATCAAAAAGCATTTGTAATGATCAAGATTTGAAATGTGGTTTCCCATTGTTAATACTGTTGCTGTTGAATCGGTTCCAACTCATAGCGACCCTGTCTGTACAGGGTATCCGAAGAGTGGCTGGTGAGGTTGAGCAACTGACCTTATAGTCTAAGTCTAGTACTTATTCTTCAATGCCACACCAGGATGTAGTATAAACCAAAGTCCAATGCCATTGAATCAATTCTGACTGCTAGCAGCCCTAGCTGCAATTCTTTACAGGAGAAAAGTTTATTTTTCTCCCATAGAAAGGCTGGTGGATTTGAACTGCTGACCTTGTGGTTAGCAGTTCAGTTCTCATCCTACATCACCACCAGGGCTCCTTAAATGTCATAAGTCCTTGCACCAGGACTCCTTAAATGTCATAAGTCCTTGCTGTTGTTAAGTGCTAACAAGTCGGTTCCGAGACTCATAACGACTCTGTACCGGGTTTCTGAGGAGCGGGTGTAGGTTTGAACTGCTGACCTTGTGGTTCAAACCATCCTTACATTCCATTGGTTATCCTACAGGGCCACACTAGGACTCCAAATGTAGTTTAAGCCTTCTAATGTAGTATAAGCTATAATGATAATATGAAGCCACCAAGATTAGAAAGGTATTAAAAAGAATAGTTTCTTCTTTATCTTATCCTTTTATCATTTCTATTTTGTGCTTTTTAAGGACATGGATACAATTTATAAATAAATATATATGTACTCTGAGATACCTGAAACTGTTTTACTTATGTGCAAGATCACAAAAGGTTTAGCTGCAATTAGGGTATACTACCTTCACTAACGCATAAGATCCTACCTGGAATTGATCAAAATACGACTTTTTTTTGAATCCTTAATTAAAATTGTCTTCCCTTCATATAAATTGACTTGACCAAGTGAAATTACTTTTACTTTCTATTGCTGTTGTTTGTTATTGTTGCTGTTAGGTGCACTGAGTCGATTCTGACTCCTAGCTACCCTATGCACAACAGAACTAACCACTAAACACTGCCTGGTCCTGCCCCATCCTCACATACTTTCTATGACAATGGCATTGTTAAGTGCCATCAAGTTAGTTCCGACTCAAAGCCATCCTATAAAGGGTTTCCCAGGAGCAATTGGTGGGCTTCAACCACACACCTTGCTATTAACAATTCAGAGTCATGCCAGGACTCTTCTATTACAATAGGCATTATTAAGACATTTTCTGGGTACAATTTATAACAGAAAGTGATGGCAACATCATTTCTATAATCATATGCACACTATCCCGTTCTCATCCTTCTACTCCACAACTCTTTTAATGTTATGAAAGAAAATTTGATGGACAAGTTTTGGCATAACTCAGAAGCAGGAAGGAATCTTTTAAAATCAGCTTTACACATTTTGATAACTCATCAATTTCTCTCAAATTAGAAATTTTAAAATAAAATTTGACAATTGATAACAACAGAGCTATGGTGTTATCTAAACCAATGATCAAACAGAGGTCCACAAAAACTTCCCAAGGGGTAGTCAGGATAGTCGTAACAGTTTCATGCAACTGAAAGGTTGGCAGTTCAAACCAACCAGTTGCCCCTAGGGAGAAAGATGTTGCAGTCTGTTCCCAGAAAGACTTACAACCTTATAAACTGTATGTTATTAAGTGCTGTCGAGTTGGTTCCAACACACAGTGACCCTGTATAGGTTTTCCGAGGAGCGGCTGGTGAGCTTG